ATGGGGAAGGGGTTTTTTGGGGGGGCCCTGCTGAGGGGGGTTATTGGAGGGGAAGGGGACCTGTCAAGTAGGCTGCATAGGGCCCCATTTGGTGGTTCTGTGGAAACCACCTGAAATGTGCAGATCTTAGCAACTTGGGATGCTCTGGCCGAAAAAGGGGGCAGGTGGTGTGTCGGTGTGCCCAGGTGACCCAATGAGATGCCGCCTGAGGCAAATGCCTCACCATAGTGACGGCCCTGCATATGGGCAAAAAGCTCATTCCGCAATGTTTAGCAACACCCTTTTCCCAAAATACCAACGCACAAAGTATTAGGGGCTGTGATAGGAAGCCAGGGACTGTAAAGCTTCATCATCCTCCTGACATCACAACTAAGATTTTACATACAAGCAGTAAACAGCACGCCCTCATTGACCTCTGTAGCTGCATGTACTGTGGAGTAATTCATCCTCAAAGATCACCACACAGGTCAGCTAGAACTATGAGGTGAGTGGAAATCACTCATCTCATAGTTCTCCTTTAAACTCCGGTTAAAGTCAGCTTCTAACAGCTTACAGCCCCGGCGCCCAACCTTTGACCCATGGGCCCTTTGGAACTTGTTTTGTGGGTGTTACCTAGGGTGCTTTGCATGCAAGTAGGAATCGCCCACTCTTCCAGACTGGCTTTCACCCATCAAGGCATTTTGATATTTGCATAACTCCTCCCAAAATCCATCTCACTGCTTGCATCAGGGCTGAGGGCTCTTGGACGGAGTACTGAGGCAGGGTGCTGTGATGTTTTCAGGAAGCTATGTACAGCACCCGGCCGGCCCCTTCCACCAGCCATGATCTGCCTGCATTGCATGGAGAAGCCCAGAAGCCCAGTGATGACGTCACTTGGTTAAACATAAGTTATGTAAGGAAAACTAAAACTTTTTATTTTAAAAATGACGGGGGGGGCGGGGCGAGGCAGAGACCATGTCGTATCAGAAAGGGGCGGGGCCAGGGTGCCATCGCGCTATAGGAAGCCGGTGCATGCTTGACAGAACACTGGGTCATAGAAGAGCCGTCGAGGTGCG